AATAAATAGTAAGGTTTCTCTCCTAGAGATTAATATTAAGAAAAAAATTCCATAGGAAAGGCTAGGATAAAAGCCATAAGGTTATATGAAGACTAAGCATCTAAGTCAAAAAAGGCGAGCTAAATGACGTGTTAAAATTGAAGTGTTAACCCACAGAAGCAAATATTAGTGACATCACCTAGATAGTTCTTTTGTAATTAAACTAAGCATACAATATCAATGAAATTAATAAACCATATTGAAGAATATATATATATACCCTCTGTACCACTATCTTGTCTCTATCTTCCTCAATATCTGTCTCTCCTTCTGCCTCACCTTCTTTCTCTTCCTCTCTTTCTGTATGCGTGCTTGTATGTATGTATTATGTTGGGAGATATAAATCATCATATAAGCCGGAAGTTCCATTCTAAATTAATATTCATTAAGTCCTGTAAAACTGAGAATTCAATAAAACCCTATTAAAATTCAGAACATTTTCATCGTCAATATGATAAGAGACTACACCGGGACTATCTCACTTGACATGTTAACCTCGTAGATTAAGATTGATAAAAGTTGATATGTTTTAAAATACATATTCACATCTCAGTTGTAAATTAATAATATAACAAACAATTATATATGTAAGCAATTATATTTTGATATTAGTATTCATAGTAGAAATATTTTAATGGAATTACAATTAATCTTCAAAAGACTTAATAAAATCTGTTTCTGAAGTTGACTTTGTTAACCTATTGTCAAGTAGGGCCTTATTAATATATGGTTTTTTATTATTATAATTTATGTCAAAAAAGGTAATTTTTTAAAAGTTAGTTTCCTGCATTTTTAAATTCAAAATAAAAGGATTTTGATTCGATTGATATTTAAAAAAGGAATCCCATATGTGTCTGACAACTTACTTGGTTGTAAAACGTTTATTATTCTCCCTCGTCATTCAAGATATTTGTGAGAAGCATTTGACACAAATTTAGTATGAGTTTGAATTTCTTGAAATAAAAATTAAATTAAAATTCGTTTTTCTTGCATGAAATATCTATCGAAACCTTTATTTCTTTTATTCCAGAGTATTTCATAATTACTAGAAATATCATTAAATTATTAAAAATTATATTTTATAGTGAAATGAATTTCCTCTATTTCTTATTTCAATCCTTAAGAATAAAAAAATGCATGTCCTTTATTTCTAAGTTACAGTGCTGATAAATAAAAGTTTGATGAACCTTAAAAATAATAGCATCCAATAAATAGCAAACTAGACTGTGCGCATTGCAAATTATTTTTGCTTTTCCTGGAAAAACCAATTACGAGGTTTCTTTACTTTTGACCAACCAACCTTGAAACTAACCGTTCCTCGTTCCAGAATGAGAAGAAGCATTAAGATGTGATCACTTCCTAGTGATTATCGACATATAACTGTGAATGAGAATGTTTCAACTCATTTCACTTCTTTGGACGATGTGTAATCGGTTTTTCTTTGGAACAGATCATGCGCTTTATCTTTTGATACTTTATAAACGAAAATAAAATATGATTCAACAACTAGGAAATGAAGTCAGATGAAAATGGAAATGAATTTGGGCTTAAAGGCTTTGTGAATCAACTAATATAATATTTTCAAAGAATTGAAAATATAAATCATAAAACAAACAATCATAATATAAACAATCATAAACAAAGCATATTTAGAACAATCGTTATTAAGATAGAATTTTTTTGATCATTTTTCGAACAAAGTGTGGTATAAAGTTTGAATTTAAGAAAAGTTTTATGGCTTTTTTTTCTGCTCTTTTATGACCAAATGAAGAAGAGTATTACATACTTATTTCTTGTTTTTCGCTAAAAAGTGATGCCATTTCAATTTTTAAAATTTATATAATAATGAATTAAAAACAGAATATTTTGCAACTTTTTAAAAGAAAAAGATAGAGGAGAACTGTAGCTTAGTTCTAATAAAATCCCTTTTCCTTTATGAATATTTAATTAACAAAGAAATTTTCTGGCATTTAAAAAAATTATTATTTTTATTTCACGCATTATTATTTCTTTCTTCTCTTATTTAACGAGAAAAATTCACATGACGTCATTTTCACATAACTGGAATCACGTATTCCCAGACAATCAGCTCATAAAGTCCTTTGAAGGAATAATCACTCTCCATGGAAAAGATAGGGTGCTAGTGCCTCTGAAGTGGTTGGACTTCTGCCCGTTGGTCCTCGGAAGATATTTTATTTCCCTTTTACCACCCACAGGAAAACCAGTGGAGGCATTTCTCTATCCACCAATTGGGGCGACACCGCCTTTAGGGGTTACAGGTTCCCCCGAGATGTAGACTTTTACCCCTTTCTTTTAAGAAATCCCTCATAACAGATTTTGATCCCTTTAGAATTATAACATCCGCAATCACAAGATTAAGAAATCACTACACGGGCATGAAAATCCATCCTGATGAAACAAGATTTTACATGCAATGCAAAAACAGTGACGTAATCCAACCATTCACACCAAAACGTATCTTCAAGTGCCCAGCTTTCAACTCAAGAGCGCTAAACCTCAAACAAATTCCACTCATCGACCCACTGCACGAGGTCTTCCATAGCCAGACGCTCTGGAATTGGCATCCGTAGTTGTTGCTCCCTTCTGTGTGTGTAGAATCTAGTTTTCTTATACTATTTTTCTTTGCCAAATCTAAAGATACGAGAGCAACAACAACAAGTCATAGTCTCATTAGTATTCAATTCATGTGTGAATTCATGTAAGTTAATGATCACGTGATGAATGTAATCACGTTTTTCCAGCCAATAGGCTCCTACCTCTTTCTTTTGCTTATTTTGGCTTTTTACACAGAAACTTTCCTTAAAAAATATATATTCGTCAACAGTAATATCGCACAAAACCTAATGCACTTGATTTAAAAATACACGTATAAATGTCCTAAATTTTTTTAACTGTGAAAAACTGTTTGAAGATTCTCAATACTTAAATATTTTTACCCGATTATCAAATTTGAAACTTTATCTAATTTTACTAGTATAACAAGTATATGTCTAATGCTAATTTTGAATTCAGTGGATAACGCGTAATTGCAATTATCATGTGACTCATGAATTTTCGGGTCTTTTTGCATTAATTTATTATCAAAGTACTTTTCGACTGCATAGCTTTAGTTTTATTTAGAATTCTTTATAGCTTCTAAAATAATTTTTTTCTGGAATTTAAGACTATGTTTAGCAAGAATCCTATAACATCTCAAGACTCTCTTCAAAAACAATTTATTTTTTAAAACTGTTACCTTCAGTTTGAAAAATTCAATCTCTATTAGAATGGAGTACAGTTTGAATTTGAAATTGAATTTTACATCCAAGTTATGTTATTTAACTTTTATAAAAATTTAACGACTGGGTGATTTGTCCTTATTGAAATGTTGCAACTATACTGGATTATTTTTATTCACAAAGACCCTCCATATTGATTCCTAAGCCGAAATTTGATAAAAATTCAAAATTATAAAGAAATAAAATAAATGAAATTAAAAAAAATATAAAACAATGTTTGACTTTTGAAGTCAGTAACAAGAAATCGTCAAATAATGTTGTACATTAGCGTCTTAATTGAATACGCTTAAATTCCTATTAACCGTTATCTAGTACTATAATTTTGTTTTTCAATTATTGAAATGATTAATGATTTGAAAAATAAAAATAATAAGAAAGTAGTAATTATTCTGAGTTACATAAAGAAAAAAATAGCTTAATAACATTATATAATGAAAACATAATTATAAAATAAACCATTCGCTTATAATATTAAAAAAAATGTTCTTTTTCCTTAACAATTGCGCAGTAATTATTTAAATAAAAATTAATAGTACTGTGTTGAAAAATATTTAATATTTATTTTTTATTATCTCTAAAGTATTTTTAATTGATAAGACTAGACTTGACGAATTTAAGTGCAGTTAAAAATAAAATTAATTAGCAAAATAAAATTTATATTTATAATAGCAACTCAACTATAAAGATTCCATTGTCGAAAAAATAATGATATCCTCTTCTTCATATTTTGAATAAATTCGATGATTATGCCTATGCAATTAGATATACATAGCATAATTAATTGTTATTTAAGAAAAGTGCTCCACTTTATTTTGGAAAAGCAAATAGCTTACATTTTCTTTTACAAATACAAGAGTATATTTTTCTTTAAATTTCCAATTAAGATTTTCCGAAAAAAGATTCTAAAGGAAAATGAAGTTTTTTTTCCTATGCAATCTTTTTAAGCCCTTAAGGACTAATTAGTAACAAAATCATAAGAGTGTTAATTTCAAACTGAGGTATTTTATAAAATACATCTTTTTTCCCTCATAATAAAGCCTATTATATACATATATTTGATAATTTAAACGAATTTCTTTAGTGACATCATTTTTTGAGAATTATAAATTTAAAAAAGGCTTTTTGTCTATTATTTATATAACTATCGTCATTTTAATGATAAAAATATTTACTGCATACTATGTTAATTTCTATAACTTTTGCATACATTTTTATGCCACCAATGCATTAAAACTGTCTGTAATGAAGATAATATAAAAATTTCAAAAAATTGTGTTATAGGTAAGTTTATAATAGAAAAATTATAAATTTGATATAAATTATATATAAATTTGATGAACTTATAACAATCACTGATTTTCACTTTAAAAAATTCTATATGAACAAGTAACAAACAAAAAACTTTTGTAAGCCAATTCCTAATTAGTTCAACAAATAAAATTTTTATTTGAGTTATTTTTTACTAAATATATTATAGTTACAATTGATATAAATATATATATATATATATATACATATGACAGAATCACAATATTAAGTAACAAAATAGAAAGCGATTTTCCTTGCAATTTTTCTTTCTATGTATGGAGTTGAACTATTTTTCTTTATTCATTAATTAAATTATTCTTAGTAAAAAATAAATCACATTCTCAGAAATTAGGCCATCTCAGGTGGGATTTCAACCCACAACCTTTGAATTAGATGTCCAATGAGCTTTCCATTGCGCTGCAGGGACACAACGAACGATATGCTTCATATGCTGTTGAACTATTGTTTTTATTTGTTACTATTTATTCCTTATTTTATTTAATCAATGAATTTTTTTTTGAAAAAACTGTATTAACATCATGTGCCATCCACTACTAGTTTAAAAAGATGTATTTGAACTTGAATGGTTCATTTAAAAGTATTTTATTGACGATTGAAAATTTGAACACGATATATATATATATAAATAAATAACCATATATATATATATATATATATATATATATATATATAAGGGAGAGAGTGAACTAATAGTAGGAATTGAAAAAGACTATGTATTTTGAGACCTAAAAAGTTTGTTCTAACCAATTGGTTGCTGTAAAAATATTAAATATATAATAAAGCTTCTGTTTTTGAAGCAAATTCAATGACTTCACCGAGAGAAATAAAATATTACAGCGTGCATTCTTTGTGATTACATCCCGAAAGAATATTCAAGCTATTATAGCTATTTACAAATTTATATGTAGATTTTCTATACATTTGAGAGCGCCATCTGGTAGTAAATAATTAAGTTAAAAGGTCAAAAAATAAGGTGAAAAAAAATTCGTATAGCTAGATGTATATTTTTGAAGAAATAATTGTCAGAAATATTTCATGAAAAATTAATTATATAATTCTGTAGACATTGTGAGAATGAATATTGGAATATGTCAAAGACTCAAAGTAGAAAATAATTCGTCATAAAAAATATTTTTTTAATTCTAAAATTAGATGAATATAATAGAGAGAGGTTTTATTAAAATTCTAGACATCGAAAAAAAAACTTTAAAGTATATAACACTGCTACAAATATCTTAAGTAGATTGAAATTGCTGTCAAATTTATCATATATTTTAATTATATTGAATTTTTCTCTTTATTTAATCATCGGGGCTTGATTTCTTTATAAAGTTACTTTCATCCCCTGATTTTGTTCCTATACTCATATTTTCAATTAAAAATTATGATATTTTTTGGTATACCGATAGAGGCATACTCTTTTGGTTCTGATTTTTGAGAAATTTTTTATTAATAATCATTTTTGAATTATATTTTGAATATTCAAAAACATTAAATGGCTTTTGAATTTGGAGTTGTAACTATAATTCTTGTTTGTACACGAGTATATTCACTCCAAATAAATTTTAATGTAGCCAAATGAACAAGTGGCAGATATCGCGCTTTCACACTCAAGTTAGGGGCTCTATCCCCGGATTGGGTGAGGTCAACTCAGCCTTTCATCCCTTCAAAGCAACCATACTCTTGCATGACTTCAAGGGATTTTTGTTATTAGATGTTTTTCCAAACACAAATTATTCAATTCGTTCTACAGACCTAGAATTCGGCAATACGAATTTTTTGTTACTTGTATTAGTTATTCTTAAGCATAAAAAATATCAAGCAAATTAAAAAAAATAATTGAATGAAACGAGTTGAAATTCGAAGAACTTTTCTTTCAGTATCGAATTAAATAGTTTGAAAATTAAAAGAAGAAATATATAAGATTTTATGTTCACAATGCGCACTAAGATATTTATTTTTGCTTTATTAACCGTAGAAATTTGAAGAAAAGAAACGAAGAAAACATATTGAAAATATGAATAATTTTTGATGTCTTCAAAATGAAAAAAATGACGCATATAAATAATCATATTTTTCAATGCCAATAAGTATGTAGTAAAGGAAAAATAAGAATGAAAGTTTTCTGTTGTTATTAGCGAAACTTTTTTTTTGAATAGCAATAGCTCTTTCTCAAGAATTTTTCGAAAGAACAAATAAAAGAAACTTTCGGAATTCAGAGAATACAAAGAGAAAAATTCATGATTCTTTATTGAAGTAAAATAACTCAGGTTTAAAAAATCGAAAAACCTAGTACGTTTTACAATTACTTGAACTATAGATATCACTTATCATTATTTACTACTTTCAAATTTCAGAAGGATAATTTTTTATTCCATAGATATGATATCGATGTGTATATTTTTTGTAAATGTATTGTTGAAAAAAACTTTATTATGATTTACACTAACTCATGTTCACGTTCTTATATAATCTTGTCTAAAACAATACTTTTCAATTTTTAATATTAATTTTATCTCTTTCTTTATTAACTGAGTAATAATTATGCTGCAAACAGTTAAAAGCACTATATATCTACAAATAAATGTAATAATTCACGTTAATTTTCTCTTGAGAGATTTAAATCCACAATGGTCATGAGCCCTCCACGATTTCTCAGGATAATTAATCTCTAGTTTACCCTCCAAACGGGATATAACCATAACTTCATATTCCCAAAACTTAAAGTTCAACTTTTTAAAATTAAAGATGGTGCAACCATGCATCACCCTAGTATCTGGACAAAACAGGAAAGCCTTTACTGGAGATCATATGATTTTAATATTTGCCATTTAACCATCAATACAAATAGACGAGATTTCTGGAGCAAACAAAGTTTTTTGGGATCGTCTTAAATGAGTGCGTGTTTGTCGATTGGAGTTTGTTCGGAACTGTTTGTATCACCACTTTATTTGTTTGTGCATCAATAAATTATAGATGCTTAACGTTTAAAAGCCTTCTCATCCTTTCTACCATTGCAACAACCTGACAAAAAGCTCACTTTAATATCCAACTGTCCGAGATATGACATAGATATATGAATATTATTGTCTCTCTTAATAGATATTTAGTAATACTTAAATAATGAAAAAATTTTGGTTGATCAATAGCATTTAAATCCAAATATTCGATTGTATATAATTTGGTTATTATTAGTTTTATTCAAGTTGAAGTAAGCAAGATAAAAAATAATTTTTGCAATAGACTCCATTTTTTTTAACGAAAATAGTTTGATCATCAATGCATCTATATAGATAAAAATCATTATATTTTTATTCATAAATGTGTGCGATAGAATTCAATCAAAATTTCACTGATGAATGTAGAATCGAAGTAAAAAAGTTACATGCTAAATTATACTTTTCATCTCTCTTTAGCAGGTAATTTTACGAAAACAAAATCAGCAAAATTGAATGAAAAAAAATCAAAAATTTCCACAGTGCTGATAGCATACTTATCAGCAATTGCTATGATGTTTCAAAAATTCTCATTAATAAAATTAAATTTACAAATGTTGCTTGAAATTTCGATCATTACTTCTGATACATGCATCACGTAATCGAGTGTCAAGTATTTTCCGCACCTCTGAAGTATCATTGAAAAGCAACGTACTACAGTTTCTCTATAACTTTCTTTTCATCAACACAAAAATTCTAATTTACAAAACTCTTATTAGACCAGTTGTGATATATGAATCTGAGACTTGGACATTAACAAAACTAGAAAGAAGAAAATAGAATGGCATCTTTTGAGAGAAAAATACTTCGAAGTATGCTTGAAGGTGGAAACGAAAACAATAGCTGACGGAGAAGGTTCAATTTTGAATTATATAGAATTCATAAACAACTTGACATCATTGAATACATAGAAATAAATAGAATTAATTAGATAACCATATAATTCGAATATCTGATGATAATGTTGTCAAAAAGGTACTGCAGTTCAAAGCCACTGGGATTCGGAAGCGTGGAAAGCTAGGCTGAGTTGGGAAGACTCAGTGGAATCAGACTTTGGGATTATAAACGAGAAAACTCGGAGAAAAAAAGTAACAAGAGGTCATTATAAAGGAATCTTCAAAGGAAGGCACTGGCCCACGAGGGACTGTCTTGTAAACATGATGATGATGAAAGTTCCTCTCTAAGAGTTATAACGATAGAAAGTATAAATTTAGTCGTCTCCATAGAAAATAATTCTGAAAGGATAAATCTGATCTTGGAGATCAAGCAAATGGACTTCCTGTACTTAAAAATATGACGTGGACGCAAGCACACACCACATAATGCAGACATGGGGTAGCACAGTATTGTAACGGATCTATTCGTGAGTCTCCTACTAATCCTCTTGGAGAAATTCTGTTTCTTTAAATATTATTTAAATGAAAATTTTCTCCCGAAGAAGATGAGATTTATGTAAATCAAGGCTTATATTTTAGCATTAACTTTTAGGTTCTAAGGAGAGAGAGGGGTTAGGAGTTAGATGATAGCAGTTAGTGATCAACGTAAAGTAGTAGAAAGTGAGTCGAGAAAGAATCGTTGATAAATTGCTTAATATTTAAAATTGATAATTGATGATCTAGCCAATTAGACATTTGAATGGGAGTGGTATCAACTGGAGGTAGAATAGTTTAAAACGGAATTTCGATTATTTGGATCGTGTATTTAAAAGACGTTCCAAGAGTAAGTAATTCAATTCACAATTAAATATTATTTATCTCGTCTACTTCGCTTTTGCTCCAATACTTAATTATAGGTGCATTTCTGAACCTGGGTTGTTGAGATTTATTAGATTGTTGAGACTTGTTAATAAATTATATTTCTTTTGAGTATGGCTGATCTTCATTCTAACTCTCGAACACTGATGGATGGGAGAGGACACCCATCACACTATCTCACTACATCATATTTTATAGCAGAAGGCTAGTGTTGCATGTTTCAAACATTCTGATAAGAATTTTTATAGGAATAACAGATTTATCAAATATTCGTGATACTTGCCGACATAACGATTGCTAACTAATGTTGTTACTAGCAATATTGCACAGTAGTTCACAGATTATTCATGGTCTAGTATGTATATTTGGAGCATTGGAAATGCCTGAAAGAATAACAACGCATTTCTTTTTAAATGGCATATGTTTCGGATATTTTTGAACTACAGCATTTGAATACAAACACTATTCAGTGAATTCAATTCGAGTTGTAAAACTGCAGATTATAAAGCTTCACTGACGCTGACGGTATGAACATATGGTATAATTCTTAAGTGTGTAAAGCACTTCCTAGCATGGTATAAAATGCCCTTGCCTTGACAAGAGCCCCCCGTCTACATTGAAGAAATCCCTATTAAAAAGCTAAATGGCAAACGAGA